GTAGAAATGCCTAAAACATATATATTTTTAGTGAAGCTATACATATTTGTATTACTTAAATATCTTGATCATATTAAAATGGTTCTATATTGAAAGGTAGGCAGCATTGCATTGGAACCTTCTCCACCAGCTGTTGAGTATTCTCGATCGCTTTATTTAGAAGCAAGATGGAGAACATAGCTAGAACTGCTGAAATGAATTTTTTTATTTGGTACTCGTATGACTTGGGTCGCACTGGGTTGTTGGATGCGTGAACAGCCTGCCTGCCTCCTTGTAGCATGGAAAATTCAGTGGACTCTTGCCGGTATTCTTGTAAAATTATTGTGGAAGTATAGTAATTCAAAAGTCAAACCACAGAAGTCCTCGTCCAGGCAATATATACATATGCCACAACTGACAACACCAACTGCTCTGTGACCTTGAGGCCTTGATCAGGGCTTGACCTATTCACATCATCATGCATGCTTCTCTGAGGGTCGGGGCTGTTGACTCCTTCACATAGATTTAGTCCGACAGACAAAATAAATGAGGGCAACAAAACATAGCGACTTTATTTTTTAGAACAAACAGATATTCCATATTTACAGTACCAGAGAGAGTTGTTTGGGAATGTACTTATATATTATATGTGATTTTTTTTGTGAGAACCCGTTATAGACATAGACGCTCACATACACGAGTGCACACTCATTCCTATGAACGCATGCATGCATACCCTACCCCTATGAGCACCTCCGAAGAACTGAATTGGACCGGCAAATCTCGAGATTCACGAATTTATTACCACATGTGTCTCGCGATGTCGATGGACACGTCGTGTACCAATGAAAGAATAATGTCGTTAATTAAATCTTGAAATAAATCCAGAAAAATACGAGTACATGTGTCAAGTTGGGGACTTAGCGTTTCATAAAAAAAGTTGGGGGCTTAGGCTAGGTGGACAGGATCCACTGCAAGGAACTCATCCAGCTGAACCACACTCAGTTTGGATAGGATATGTGATCTTGATGGATAGCGTAGTCAAATTGTACAGTTTACCAAATTGTTTTTTTTTAATACAAGTATATGACCAATGTTCTCCCAAGGCAGCAGCCACTACCGGTGACAGGCTTGTCTCTGAATTATTTCCATGATGGTGATGTGAGTAGTTATGTGTAGCCTGGGCCTCGATCTGAATGTTTCCGACAACATATGAACTATGCATAGTAGCATAGTGTGCAGAAGGAGCCCCTGATGAATGCTGATGTGAGCACATATGTAATTCTCACTAGTACACAAATGGCTTATAGTCCCGGTTGGGAACTGGCTCTAGTCCCGGTTTCTCAACCAGGACTACGAATCCGGGACTAAAGGTCCTCTGAATGCTTCCAGGTATATCTGGTCTTTCGATCTCTGTGAAGAGAGAATCCAACCATATATCTGCAACTGCAACTGTTGATGATCAAAATCTTGATCAGTTCAGCAGAAATAAATAAATACGGGGTAGGAGTCGTAGCTTCGCCGAACCGTGTTTCCCTAGTATAGGATTCTATTTAAAAAAAAAATGGCAGCCATTCACGGGTAGGGTGCTAGATAGGGTGATTTTTATCCATCAAGAAAAAGATAGGGTAATTTTTTATCAAACCGTGTTTCTCTGTTGCATTGCTTTTATACAATACATACGTTGCTTGCACGCTTTCCTAAAGTACAGACACAGTCTATAGCTGCATATACAGTAGCAGTGTGAAAGGCTAGCCGCGAGTGATTCCGAGCTGTTGGGCATGCAAGCAGCCTTGATTGCCGGCTTTTCAACTGGCCGGATCAAAGTCCAACATAGTAGGTGAGGTGAAGCCGGTACATGACATGATCTAACCTAGCTAATCATATACAATTTTCATGCATGCATGGTATGCTTGCTATACTACCTTGCGCATGAAGATGAGCTTATTCCACTAACAGACTGAGTCCAGCTGTTTCTGCTATAAATATGGATGTCCTGATGTCCATGTTCCCCAGCAAGCTAGCTACCACCTCCAGAGCTCCAACAAGCAGTACACCTCACTGCACTCCAGAGATGGCTGCAGCATCATCATCAGCTGCGAGATGCAGCGGCAAAGGCGGCGTCGCTCTCCTGCTGCTGCTCGTGCTGGCGGCCGGCACTGGCACCTCGTCGGCGGCCCCGCAGCCGCTGTGCACCAGCTTCTACTCCCACTCGTGCCCCGGCGTGTACGACGCCGTCTGGTCGGTGTTGCAGGCCGCCATCGCCAGGGAGCAGCGCATGGGCGCCTCCATCCTCCGTCTCTTCTTCCACGACTGCTTCGTCCAAGTACGTACATAACAGTAGTCGCTCGCTCCGCCATTTGTGACTATCACTAGCTAGTGATTATAATGTGATCGATCGATCATGGTGTAGGGTTGCGACGCCTCGCTGTTGCTGGATGACACGCCCAGCTTCCAGGGGCGAGAAGATGGCGACGCCCAACAACGGCTCCGCCAGAGGATTCGAGGTCATCGACGCCATCAAGTCCGCCGTCGAGAAGGTGTGCCCCGGCGTCGTCTCCTGCGCCGACATCCTCGCCATCGCCGCAAGAGACAGCGTCGTCATCGTAAGCCTACCTATGTAGCCGGCCCTTGTAGTATAGTATATTCTTTGAATCAATTTTAATTTAGAGCTAGAAAGATGCATGAGACTGAACCTGCAACTGCAACTGATGCAGCTGGGTGGTCCGAGATGGGACGTGAAGGTTGGGAGGAGGGACTCGAGGACGGCGAGCTTCAGCGGCGCCAACAACAACATCCCGCCGCCGACGTCAGGCCTCGCCAACCTCACGTCGCTCTTCGCCGCGCAAGGCCTCTCCCAGAAGGACATGGTCGCGCTCTCTGGTGCGTATATTTATACTATTCCCACTGTGCATTAGTAAATAACTACTATCTGTAAATAAATGCAACTCTAATTCTCCAAGAAAACCTGTCTCTCAAATTTGGTGAATCTATAGCCATTACACACTGTTGGCTTTGTCTCTTTGCCAGGAGCTCACACCATTGGCCTAGCACGTTGCACCAGCTTCAGAGCCCACGTTTACAACGACACCAACATCGACGGCAGCTTCGCAAGATATAGGCAATCGGTTTGCCCTAGGACCTCAGGTTCAGGTGACAACAATTTGGCGCCTCTGGACCTTCAGACCCCAACTGTCTTTGAAAACAACTACTACAAGAACCTTGTTTCCAAGAAGGGGCTTCTACACTCTGACCAGGAGCTCTTCAACGGTAGATCCACCGATGCGCAAGTCCAATCATATGTTCATAGCCGGAGCGCGTTCTTTGCGGACTTTGTGACCGGCATGATCAAGATGGGTGACATCACACCGTTGACTGGCTCCAAGGGGAGATCAGGAAGAACTGCAGAAGGATTAATTAAGAAGCAGTGCACACTATCTATCTATCTATCTGTTGAGGATTTTCAATAACGTCCTACTTTTGTGAAATCATTATGTTGCACTATTTTGTTGAGATTATGTCGATCTGTTTGTTTGAATAAGTAATAATCAATCATTTGTCTTTTGTTATGTGTATACAAACATTTTTTCTTGAGTACCATACTTTTTGCATGTGAAGAACTATAAGGTGCTTTCTCCAGCTCCTGTATGCACTAAATCGGTTCTTTATTTACAATTGTTTGATTGAACACATATTATCTCTAAATTTAATGAAGATGCTCTAAAGTACGTGTCATAACATTATTATTATTATGTGATTTTACTACTACAGAACTGACATCTAGTCCCGGTTGGGAACTGGTTTTAGTCCCGGTTTTCCAACCGAGACTAGCGTTCGAGACTAAAAGGTGGTGTTCTTTAGTCCCGGTTTGCCACAAAGGGACTAAAGATCCTCCCAATTTAAAAAAATAATACCTCCCACCGCTGCGCCCTATGAGATTGAACCCAAGACCTCATGCATCGCCTCGCCTGCATGAGCTTACCACCCCACCTACACAACACATCTAACAATGGATGGGATACTTTCCTTTTGAACTAACCCATCGGGGGACCTTTAGTCCCGGTTGGTGTTACCAACCGGGACTAAAGGGTCCTTTAGTCTGGGTTGCTGTTACTAACCAGGACTAAAGGGTCTACCTTTAGTAAAGGTTGGAGGACTTTTAGTTCCGGTTGGTGGTTCCAACCGGGAGTAAAAGAACCTTTAGTCCCGGTTGGTATTACCAACCCCTCCTTTAGTCCCGGGGGCAAAAAATACCGAGACTAATGCCAAATTGGAATATCGTTCTAAAGTCTGTTCTCTAGTAGTATTATTCTTGCTTTGACTGGTTCAAGTCGAGTATGTAGTAAAGAATGACGTTGCACTCTAATAATTAGAGTCTAATTAATCTCACGGCATGCATGTCTTAATTTCTATGCGTGCTTGGTCCAACTTAATTTTGTGGTGATAGCGACAAATTAAGCAATGCAAGAGAAAAAGAGGGTGGAGTACGGTGCATGCGGTCACTATTTTCATGCAGGCACACATGTCAATGTTTCGTTTTTCTCGAACACCCAAAAAGTTTGCGTGTCTTTGTAGTATTAACAAAGGAGAGGTTTGAGTACAGAGCGTTTTGCCCGTGCTGTGGGGGCTCGAGAGGATTACAATTAAGCTCATGCCCACCCCAAGACAATGCTAGCTAAGCTATTATGCTAGAAATGAGACAACCCAAGTTAGACATGTCAATGTAAATATTGGTTTTTGTTTTTTACTTTGCATTTCAAGCAGGTTTATAAAATACGAAGAACAATTAATTGGATCTTGTCAAGGTACTAACTTCTATTACTAACTTAAAACAGATCTTAGGTTGCTACAGAAATCATCTTCTCACTAAAAGCATCAAGCCTTTTCTGGTTACCCATGACGGACATACTGAACACAGGGCCGTCTTCAGAGAAAAAAACTACAAATTCACCAATCTAGGATTTTTTTTGACAAAGCCTACCTCTAGGATTGTGTTCTTTGATAAGACCTCGGAGGCAGGAATGGAGAGCCCTGGTGAGCGAGAGCCCCAGCCCACCCCACCGCCGGCGTCCCTCCGGCCGCCGCCGTCCACCCCGCCCCCGCCCTCCATCCCCGCCACAGATCCACCATCCCTCACCCCGGCCGCATCGTCTGAGCAAGTCCTGGAGGCCCTCCTTGGCGCAGGCGACGAGGAGCTTCTGGACTGGGGTGACGAGAGCCCTGTCCACATTTACTCCCAAGCTTGTGCCGGAGAAGATGCAGAGCACCCGAGGTCAGGCCCCAGCTCCCCTGCCCCAGCGAAGCTTGTGCCAATTGAAGTCCCCGGTGGATCTGCTCCTGCAGCTGGCGGATCGGGCGGTTCCGCTACCGCTGCGGCGATGGACATCTCGATCTGCTCGCCCCCTGACCTGAGGAAGCAAGGAGCTACGCGTGCTGAAGGTGCAGCGCTGGCCACCGCAGAAGGCTCTGGCAAGGCCATGGCTTCCAGCTCCACGACACCGGCCACCCAACCCGGGGCGAATCTTTACTGCTCCCCCGATTCAAGATGGGAGATGGGCGCACCCGCCGGAGTTATTGCGGGGCAGGAGGAGCCAATTTCACCAAAATGGCAACACGCAAAGGCTGGACGACGGTCGCGTGCGCCGCCGGTACCGCATCCGGACACCGCCGCATCCAAGCCGGCGCCAAGAGGATCTCCATCCGCGGCATTCGCTGCATTTAAGAAGCGCTTCGCCGGAAGGTGTTTTCGGTGCCTCGCCTCAGACCACCAAGTTGCTCACTGCCGTGATCCGGTTCGTTGCATCACCTGCCACCGGGTGGGGCACCTCTCCCGCTCAGCCGCTCTCCGATAGGGGGGCAGAGGAGGAGAGACTACCTTCCCCACGCAGCTGAGGAACGCGCCAAAATACGACGGGTGAGCCATCGGAGCTCCATCAAGCTGGATCGGTGAGTCATGATCCTTTAGCTGACCCCCTAAGTACGACGACTACTCCGGCCAGTCACTTCTTGGGGCACCATGATCCGATGATGCTAGAGGCCAACTGTCGTGCAGTTTTGCCAGCGGCCAGCCCCTGTCCCTGCCCAGATGACGGTGCGCCCCTTGGCGCCGCGGGCTAGGGTGTTAGCACGGACTCTGCCGTTGTCGACCTGGCTGTGATGGCAAGTCCAGCGGCTGAAGAAAACATTATCAATGAGGACACTGATTTGCAGGGAGCAGAGGACACAGAGGGCTGCACTGAGACAGAGGACAACGGTGACTGCGCCTCCTTCTGCAGGAAGATGTTCAGGAAGGTTCCTGAGCCGCTGCTACCAAGGCCGGCCTCACCTCAAGTTGTTAAGAAGCAGGCCGGTCAGTCGAGTACCAGAAGACGCAGAAGGACACTAGCTCCCACCCGCTCCAGCTTGCGTCAGGCCGCTCGCCCATCCCCCGTGCCGGTGGCACAACGCGCACAACTCAAGCTTATGCGCGAGCTGGACTTGACCTCCCAGAGAAGGCGATCAAGGCACTACGTACGGACTGCAGCGAAGATGGACAACAAGGAGCTCTGCAAGGCCCTAGCTGCAATTGCAGCGGAGTCAGGGGGAGATGAGATAGTGGTTCCATGATGGTGCTTATGCATTGTATGATCATTCAAGCGACAGTCGGTCATGCCATTGTTTCAATGGGTTGCACATGTGTTAGTGTTGGACAGTGCAAGACAGTTACTTGTTGGAAATTTGGATGGAGCTTCTTGCAAGCAGGTTGTATGGAAGCCGACTTGGAAAGCTAGAAGATACATTTCGGTTGTTTTTAGAGGCCAAGTTGTTATGGTCTCCTCTTGTTGTACTCTTAAAATGTGAGTAGTCCGTTTAGCTATTTTCGCCCAGTTTGACGGTCTGTCAAGCCTGGGAAGTTGTTTGCGCTGCTTGCGCATGTAATTCTCTCCTCTTATTAATATATGCCGTCTATGTTCCGGATCTTTAAAAAAAAAACACGAGCTTCCATCCTTTTAAAAACCTGAACCATCACAGCGTCGGGGATGGGAACGAGGAACCCGCTATTGTCGTGCCAAAATCATGCCCTTTGCGGCTTGGAGCGTCGTCGTCTCTGCCACTACCAGTCTACCACCGGTAGGGGCGGCGCAGGCACGCCCTCCGCGTGCGCGAACTCCAAGTGCGCCAGGCATCGGAGAGATGCTGACGCAACTAAATCGCAGGAGGTGTCGGCTGCATCAACCAAAGGGAGAGAGAGCATGGCTGCTGCCTGCCGGATCCGAACGGAGAGCTCAACATGTCCTCCAGATCGTCGGCAGGGAGTGGACGCCGGTGACTGATGTCGTTCAGTCAATCTTCTCGCATCTGCCTCCCCGCTCCGCCGTTGGCCATGTAGCTTGCAGGCGGCGGATTAGGATATCACCGTTACTGCAGTCTTGATTTTGTGGGAAATTTGGAGATTGATTTTGGGGATTTTTGTGCTACAGAACATCCAGGAAGGAAGACTGGAAGAGAGAGAGATGGGAGAATTTTTTCTCACGCGTCAAGGAAGTCGGGGTCGGGGATGGGGTCGTTGGCCTCATACTGCTGTATTTTACTTTAACAACTGTACTCGACTCGACAGTCCATAGCTCCCGGTGCCCCACATTGGTCCAGCCATCTACGTCTTGCGAATAAAAATGGAATTGGAGCATCCTGTGGCCGCGTGGGGGTAAAAGGATATTTGAAACCTCGGTAGTACACTGCATGGTACAATCATTTTACCTATTGTCTTTACATTCATTTTTTTTATTTTCAACTTAACTATTTAAAAGTTACTCCATAATCCAGTATAATACAACAAATCCCCGCAGCAACGCGCGGGGTATCATCTAGTAGATATAGATAGTATGACCCTGCATTGCAACGATACATATCATTTAATGCGTGGTGCTCATGCCAACAAAAATAAGCTAACTAGTTTTTTTTAGTTTAATTGGGCTTTGTCCAGCCTTAAATCAAATAGGTTCCAACGACCATAATAAATGTTAGCGTGCAATAAAACATTAATCCCATGTTGAAAACATTAATCCACATCTTTGGTGCGCATCCCCCTTTAGTCTTTGGGTTTCAACGCCAAGCCACAAAGGTGTGTTAAGCTTCTCGTCATTGGACAAGTTCCTGAAGGTTCTTGTCAGTGTTATGGGCCTGAGGTACCTCACCACCTAGAGAAGGGCCCAATATAGTCAGGGTGCATGGGCTAAAGATACCAAAGGTGAAGCCCAACTTGAACATGGTACATCAAGACTAAGCAAGTTGTCGGCCGAGGGAGACTTAAAAGACCAAGACCCTTGTAGATTCCATGTGATATGATACATTTCCTTGTAACCAATTAGAAAACATGCATATAAATTGATTGGAATTCTATCTGTCACTCTATCTCCTAGACTATATAATTGTGATGTAGGAAGCCCCAGATTAAGTGATCACATCATACATTAGCTTTCATAGCTAGACAAAAACACTTCTTTTTCCTAAAAAACACATCTACGCCCTGGAATCTATGAGCATACAAGATATGAGAGATCAATTCTCCACTTGACGTTGCTCACCCTTTGCCTGAACCAAAACAGATTCGTGTCTTGTGTGCTACCCACCTAATTCCCTGCATAGAAAATGTTGTTCCAACATTGTCGACGGTAATTCCTCTGACAATTTTAAAGCTCGGAGGAAGGTGAATCGCAAAAGTACACCGACAATCCAGCCGATGAAGTGTATTGCGAGCTGTGCCGTCATTTGAGAGAAAGGTGAGATTTATAATTAAACATCATCTTCATCCACACCACCTTGTCGCATGCCCTGCCCGGTGTGCTGAGGAGCATTGACTGCGACCCTGGCCCTCACATGCTAACCCTAGGTCCTGCCCGCCCACACCTCCCACGTACTCACCACACCCGCTCTCCCATGTGGCGCCATGGAGGCCACCTGCACACACCGGCCGCGGAGCTCATGTGCACTGGGTCTTGCTAGCAGGAGAGAGAGGATAGTGTGTTGGAGGTTGAAGATAGAGAGGGAGAGAGAGAAGATGAGATAGGGGGAGGGAGGAGCCGATGTGACTACGATACTTATTAAGCACGTTGAAACAAGATTTTTGGTTTGGGGCAAGAATCATTGTCATTTGGTAATACAACCCACCAGTGATGGTATCACTTTGGGGTCCAACCACTAGTGATAATTGTTTATGATTACCGGGCAAGAATCATCGTGGGTTGGGTAATACAACCCGCCAGTGATGGTATCACTGTGGGGTTGTATTAACAAAAAAGAAGTGATAATTATTTATGAACCAAGGTGATGGTATCACTATCAGTTTTACGTTATCCGATAGTGACACAGATCGGTAGTGATGGTGTGTTTTGTAATGTTAAGAATAGTAAAAAACTATTGTGCTTCAAAATATGTTTACTTGGGTTTGCCCCGGCGGCCACAAGCGCCTTGTAACTTGGGAGGCGCCCGATCATCTCCCCTATAAATTTGTGTCATTTACCTATTTGAAATACATAATGATATATAGTGTTATTTTTAACTCCATTTAATCGATCTTAGACAGACATAATGATAATAATATTAGTTTAATCCCATTTCATCTTGCTCCACCTCTGTTAATAATACCTTCGTTATTCGTCGCGATTAACTTACGACAGACTACGGATTCCCTCAAATGTCTTGATGGTTTTAGTCCCCCCAACAGTCTGACCCCGTCCGTGGTTCCGACACATTACCACAAATGTTATGAGAAAGGCATCTTCAAGGACACCTCAGGCCGCGAGACCCACATGGTCGCATCACAAATTTAGCGATCACCGAGGGCTCCATCTCTCCCCGATCGGCCGATAGAGATCAATTCGACACTTCCGAAATTAAAAAACTAAAGGTAGGTAGCCTCCGACATATGCCCACCTGGCTCTCAGTGCTTATTCCCAGCGGCATGCAAGCTTTCCAAGGCACCCGGGAGGCGGCATCTTCTGCCAATCTGGCCGCTGGCCGGGGACCAAAAGTTAAAAGGGATGAAAGCGAAAGGCACTGATCGTCGATCGATGCGCAAAGGCACATTTGTCTGAATTGTTTATCAAGCAAAGAATGACTGCTAGTTCGATCATGCATGGAATGGAAGGTCCTATATATCAGTCACACAGACGCATGACCCATGCCTATATATAGACCTCACTCCGTGGTGCAAGTGCCACAGCTCTGTGCATAGATGCATGCACACGCACACCACAGCCGCAATGTCAGTGCCCCCGGCCTTTGACATAGTTAGGGCTAGCCTCGAGGACCTGTGGAAGCTCGACAAGGCCCAGTGCAACCAATTGCTCCAGTCGTACAAGGCTGCGACGATGACGGTGAGGGTGATATTTTTCTATTTTAGCTCTTTTTACATACTATTTCTACAAATAGACCCCTGGCATAACTATTTGCAGAAATAGACCGAAAGCTCGGCGTACGCAGGCACCACGCCAAGGTATGCGACTCGGCGTTCCTTGATCTAATGCTGACCATGCCACGTCGCTACCAGCGTGGCAAACGCGGCAAAGCTCGGCGTGGAGTTCTTTAACGCTGAGGTTGGCTAGCTCGGCGTTGCACAAATTCACGCTTAGCTAAAGAACTTGTGAAAGCTACTAGTGCACATGCATGTCTGTACTTTATGCGTTTAATATTTTGTGAATTTCATAGAAAATTAAATATTGACGTGAGATCAGCTTTATTTAGATTCATGATGTGGTTATCTATTATATCTGAAAATAATAAACTAGTAAACTCTAGAAATTTTGTGAAACTTATAGAAAGATAAATATAAATCCAATTGACATGAGTAATTTCATTAGAACCATAATGTTATTCGATCTCTACCTAGGGGTGCAAATGGTACAAATATTTTCCGACAGTATCCGAGTCCAAATCCATTTAGAGGAGTTCAAATCCGTCTGTATCATAGTCTGGATATTCAAAACATCTGATTCCGTATCCGTTTTCAATTACTCAAATCGCATACTTACGATGTCAACATCCATTTGTATTCTATTCGACGTAGCTGAGTAGCTGATCCTATTCGTATTCATATTCGAATCCGAATAGAAATAAGAAAATAAATGTAATATCAGCCTTATCTGTTCGTATCCGATTCGTTTGCACCCCAATCTCTACATGATAAAAAATATGCATTGACAAAATATTTGCCAAAAATTCTAGAAATAATTTTGGGAAGAAGCTAGTTACCTTGTGCATGAACTATCACGTACGCGCATATATATAAGCTAATAATGGTGAACAGGCATGCCCATCCAGACCGATTGATGCTCTCGCATTTTTTTAGAAAGCCGGTATGCAAGGTTCCACAGCCATTTCGAGGCATACGCGACGCCGGGATTTCGAACGGCCAACACTGAGTATGCTAGAACTGATAATCACTGTCGGATTAGAAGTCCCCATCACTATCGAATGGTTTATGGCAGAGGATAGCGTGTTCTGGCGTTATGAGTGATAATAATTAATACCGCACTATTTGTTGTTGCATGCAATGTTTCTGTTGTGAGAGTGCCTAAGAAATGGGTCCAGAGGAAATATTCGTTAAGTGCAACTCCCCGCACGAGAGG